GCAGGATGGAGATGAATGGCTGAGGCCGGAGCCCCTCTTGGAGGACCCGATGCTGGCCTGGTGGGGAATGAAACAGGTGACCGCCAGTGACTTCTGAGGACGCTTGAAATCTGAATTTGCCACTTGAGATTCCACTTTTTATTCACCTGACACTTTTTGGTCTTGAGATAAGTTTAGAATCAGTCTCTTAAACATCGCCGAAGAAAGGGAGGTTTTAACATCTATTTGTTGAGCCAATCCATGCTAAATACACAGCATGTGCAGGACACAATGACAACTGCTGAAGATACAAGTGTGGACACGACCCTCCTCTTAAGGAGCCTACAGGCAAACAAAGGAGATGGAAAATCAACCCAGGAGATGGGGCGGGGAGGAGGCAGAGGAGTGAGGGCACAGGTGGGGTCTGCCGAAGCCAGGAGGTTGGAGACAGGAGGAGGGCCCGCTGCATCTGAAATGGTGGCGGGAGGAGTTGGGAGCTTTGGCTGTCGAGTCCTGTAGACCTGGGTTGAAACCTCAGCTCTGCACTCTCTGCTTTACCAGCTTTGCCAGCTGCTTCTGGTCTTTGAGCTTCCTATAGAAGATGATGATGGTGATGGCGTTAACCTCATGGGATTATCGCAGAGGTTCAGTGAAATGGCACACGTATTCGTACTAAGTGTAAGGCCAGCATGTGGTGTGTGCAAAAAAAATATCAACTATCAGCCATTAATAATTCTTTGTTGTCATTGTTAGTCCTCACCCAAGGATATTTTTCCATTCATTTTTAGATAGAGTGGGAGGAGGGAGGGTTAAAGAAAGAGAGAGGCACATTGATTGGTTGCCTCCTGCACGACCCTGACTGGGGCTGGGTATTGAGTCTTCAACCCAGGTACATGCCCTTGACTGGGAACTGAACCCACAACCCTGCGGTCCTAGGGCCGGTGCTCCAACCGCTGAGCCAAACCAGCCAGGGCACTGTTAATATTCTTAGTGAAGAACCGGTAGTAATCATCAGATGAAGACGGAAGGACGGACATTCCAAGCTAAGGGCGAAGGGGCCGTAATCAGCAGGCGAGCTCCTCTGTAAGTTCTCAGTGTGGCCAAGACAAGTCTGTGTAAGCGGAGATGATGAAACTAAGGTGGACACAGACGCCAGGTCCTGAAGGGCTTGTGCGCCAAGCGAGGGGGTGTGAACTCTGTTCCAGCAGCCTTGGCTGAGGGGTTTAAGGGACAGAGTCAGATTTGTGACATTCAGGTGACGGAAGGCAAAGACCCTGTGTCATTCATCTTTGGTTTACGTCCCCAGTGCCTAATAAAAGCTCGCTGAATGAATGAAAGTCTGTCCCTGTGATTAATTTAGTAAATGACTTCTTTTGGGGGTACTAATTGTGTCTTAAGTTCCAAAAAGTTAATTTACCAAAAAATGAACAGCTGGCCCTTTTTTTTTTTTGCTGAAATCTGGCCCCATGTGGCTAACTCTTCATTCCCGTGAGAAGCTGGGCACTTGAAGGAGGCAACAGAATGGGCAGGTGTGTGGAGAACAGCCTGTGATACCCTGCGGGCAGCTGAGGCCACATGAGGCCACTTCTCGACAGTGAAGAGAAATGGGACCCAGCTCACACAGAGGCCATGCCTGCCTTCCCTTCCCAGCCACCGGGCCTCCTCCCCACTGAGCACCATTCATTCGTACTCCCGGACATCTCCTTACATGGTGCTAATGAGGACCCACACTGGCAGGTTAGTGAGTCCCTTCACCTGGTACACTTATGCATGCTTGACACACACCAAGCCCTCCTCACCTACATTAGCTCATGTAACTATCATACGAACCCTTGAGGTAAGTACTACTGTCATCACCATCTTATAGACATAGAACCTCACGCTTCTGAGACAGTCATTAAGTAACTTGCCCAAGGTCACTAAGGCTCTGTGAGGTCAGATAACTTTCTCAAGGTCAACAGCTTCTGAGAGGCAGAAGTGGTTTTCACCCGCGTCAGCACCCTTTTACTACAACACTGAAGAGAGTGCAGGACAGGCCACTCATTCACTTATATTTACAGAGCGTCAGCTATAAGCCAGGATGGTAACGCTCTACCGTCCTCGCTCTAGGGCTCCAACAGTGAGGCGAACACACAAACTCTCTGCCCACGGGCAGCTCGCATCCTGTGGACTCCACCAGCTTGAGCCCTGCCAAAGGCTCTGTTCTCGCAAAACTTCCCTTATTCCTTTGGCCCTGTTGATATCTTGTCTCCTTCAGTCCTAGAGCTCATGTGACCTGTACCCTGCATGACACATGACCCCTTACAGTCCTCAGCTTCTTTCAAAATAAAGACCAAGGGGGAGTGCTGGGCAGCCAGGCTGCCCGACTGGCTGGTCTGGGCATCAGGGCCGTGAGGTAGGGCTGCCAGTCCAGGGCGGAGAGCTCCCTCTCACCATCTGCCTGCAGTCAGAGTGTGCCCCCACGACCTGAGGACCCCCAGCCTCGCTTGCTTAGCGAAGACATGGCCCCCCCGCACTTGGACGCTGGGCATCCCTGCCAACTCCTCTGATGCTGGAGAACAGCTGGGAGAAGCAGGCAAAAAAAAAAAGTTGGGTGGAAATGGTCAGACTAGTAGAGAGATTGACGTACATACTGCCTTTTCATTCTTTGGCTACAAATACCATCTGCAAGAGCCATTTGACTCTAAGAGGTTTTGTCATGTTCAAAATTTTTTGGGGTGGGGAAGGCTTATCATGAGCTTCTGGGACAAAAGAGCTGTGTCCTCATCGTTGAACCTCCCCAGGGTCTTGGGACCTTACAGGGAAAATCTCAAGTACTCGGGATAACAGTAGTAATAATAATAGTTTCATATGTCTTATGATAAAATACTAATTAGTAATAGTCTTTCCTGAGGACTAATTGTCTATGGGACACTGTAGCAGATGCTCCACCTTCATGAGCTCAATGTAACCCTCACCACGACCTGCTTGTTCTTATTATTTTCTTATCACTACTTTCCAGATGAGGAAGGTAAGGCTCAAGGTCTCCCAATTAGGAATTACCCCCATGGTGGTTCAACCTAGATGTTGCAGGATAAAGATGAAAGAACTTGAGCATCAGTCTGTGCTGCTCCTGGTCCTTCCCTTCTCACCGTTTGTAAGGAGGCATTACGACTGAGCAGGACGCTCTCTCTAGCCTAACCCTCTCCTCCAGACGACACCCGGCACAATTCTCCACTTTCTCTGACAGGACGCTGGGCACAGAGGTCCTTTGAAGAGTTCTTGCTGAAAGCATCTTATGAGAACCTTTGGGATGGTGGCTGAGGAACAGAAGCCCAGAGCAGGTGGCAGCACACGGTGCATGGACAGTAGCTCAACTTCCTTGCTCGTGTCATTCCATAAACTATTCCCATCTATGTACAGGAAGTCCTCATGAACTTACTCTGAGTAAAAGAAATGACTGGTTAACTTGCCTTTCATTTGTTTTCCATAGTAAATGGAATATTTCCTGCAACACTGTAAGTCACTAACATTTCAATTTATTCATGCACTTTCTCTCTGACCTCCTAATGGCAATACTGCATCATTGTATCTGCCATATAACCATCAACTTTGACAGCTCCTTGCATGTCCCAATGGGATGCTCCCACTGTCTTTGTTAGCTTGTTGGTTTGAGGAGACAGTTTGCTTTCTTACACCATCCTACCTACTTTTTGCACATAGACTATTAAATAGGGAAGCAAGGCCAGTGAATTAAGCGATGAGGAACTGGATGAGAATCCAAGCTAACTCTTGCCATGTACCAGACCCTGTTCCAAGCACTTGCACCTGCAAGTTTAGTACCCCTGCAACCCTATGAGGCAGAGTCTGTTATTATCATCGCCTCCACTTCTAATGATGAGACTGCTGAGACAATGAAAGACTGAGCAACATGCTCAAGGTCACACTAGGTTATAAGTGGCCAGGCCAGGATTGGAACCTGTGCAGTCTGGCTCTAGACCCTACACCCTCCCTTACTATGTTATGTCACCCCTGGGGCCGAGTGAGCCCCGGAATGTGACAAAGGCCTGCTCTGTCCACGCCTTTCCTTCTCTTCTGGGACCTGACTCTTACATATAAACTACTACTGCTGCTGCTGAGTTTTCTGGTTCAAAAGGGTGGGAGAAAAGTGGCCAAGTGGTAACAGCATGATTAAATACCCCTTTCCCATCCTTGCTTCAGTCCTGCTGATTGTGGATTTTACATAAAGGCCCATGGCCTTTGAGAAGTTGTTAGGTCTAATACACGTGAAACAGGCATACATTTTACTGATCAACTTTAAAACAGCCCCCATCCCAGGTTTGAAGATCAGCACTGAGGCTATGTGCTGGCCATCAGGCATTCCTAAAGTCAAGGGCACTTCCTGAGTTTACGGGCATCACAACTTTAAATTACACATGTGTTTTCCATCGAGCTTCCGCAAATCGGTACCTTTGTTAGGATACCAAACTCTGCCTGGGCACATGCCAGGTGGTAACTTACAGTAGCAACAGAGATGTGAGTATGTTCTCTTTAAAGTGTTACATCAAAATGATTATTCCTGTGCTTTGGCCTTAGAAGCACAAACCGAGGCTACGTGGTAGTGAGGGAAAGAGGCTCAAAAAAATATTTTAATTTTAGAAAATAGGCATTACCGTCAAAGAAATTGCCCTCTTTAATTCTTAAAACTTACCACATTCCTTTCAAATGAGAATAAAACTGATATTTCTTAATGCTTGTTCATCATGAGTACTATGACAATTATTGCATTACTTTTGGTTGATAAAATATTCAGAGGACAAACAAAGCCCACATGATGGATTAATTCTCCATCAGTACAAACAAAAACTTTCAGTATTTTCGATCACATAATTAAAGGCTGTTGTTTCGAGCACCAGAACCCGGGACATGTTAATTAATTGCTTCAAGAAGACAGACATGTTCTGTGGTTGACATTTGGAATCAGACATTTATAAACCCCGCACAACACTGAAGACGAACTACACTTGCAGAATAAGTCCTACCTGCAGAAGTCTGGGGGCACCATGCCGTAAACATTGATCCTGTCACAGAGCTCCAGCGCAATCGTCATTGTGAACCAGCCCGTGCTGAGCCAGGTGTTGGAGATCTTCCTGGAAGGGACAACCATGAAGTCTGCGAGCTGGTCAGATAATCATTATACCCACTACCATCTTAAGTCTTTTCTGAAGCAGGGCTGACGATCAACCCACACACTCTCTCCATTTGGTAAATAGCTGGAACTCTTACCAGAGAGAGAGATCTACCAACACCCCGTGTTCCACGGTACAATCACAGATGATGTTGGTGGCCACCACGGCAGACCTGTGGTGCTGAAGGCTGCTCAAGGGACTTCTTCATCACCAAAGATGATGACCAATGTCTCAAGGTTCTAGTGCATATCACCATAACTCAATTTCTGGTAAGATGATAACCCCTTGTGCCAACCCTGTATTAACTAGAGTACTTGACTAACTAGAAGTATTCCTTGTTCCCCAAGCAGGGTGGACAAGAAAGAGCTTATGACATATGATTAAACACAGACGTGTCCATCAACTGATGGAGCTATCAAATGATCTGGTTGAAGCTTGCCTTCAACTAGACTAACACATCTCGATCGAATGTCCTTCCTTAGGCGTCCAGGAAGTCCTCACTTAACGTCGCTAGGTTCCTGGAAACTGCCACTTTAAGCAAAATGACGTATAACAAAACCAATGTACCATAGGTTAATTGATATAAACACGAGTTAAGTCCCTATGGCATACTTCTGGCAACAAAAACGTCAGCAAACATCTGAATAAAGACCCAATGCACTTGTAGTATTAAACATTAAAATAAATGTGAGCTATACATACATTTAAGAAAGATTAATAAAAAAGTAAGATGATTATTTTCCAACTCATTTACTCCAGTTCAGGGTGGTGGTTGGCTCCGGGCACAAGGCAGGACGCACCCTGGCAAGGACGCCTTCCATCGCAGGGCACACTCCCACCACCCACTCATCCAGACGGGGACGGTGCCCTCGCATGCACAGCTTGGGGACGTGGGAGGAACCGAGCTCACAGACATGGGGAGAACAGCAGACTCCACACACAGTGGCCCTGGCCGGGAATGAATCTTCTTCCCTCATTCACATGACGACAAAGCATGTTGATCAAAACGACTTTATCTGAGGGCCTGCAGTACACGCTTTTGAGAAGGGGCTAATGACCAGAGGAAAAGAACCAGAGGAATGCTTACGTTGAAGTGAGCATTTGCTTTATTTTACCTCAGCACATTCAGCACCCTCTGGAAATTTTTATTAGAAGACCAAAAGTTGACAAAATTTAAGGAACAAATCTGTGCATTGCAACATTTATTCACTTGTCCACTCAGACATTGGTACTGAACTCCAACCACGTGCCAAGCCTAAGGATCACAGTGGAGACACATCAAGGTCTAATTTGACCCTGTTCGAGTGGCTACCATGCTGTGGAGAGCAGTTCAGTTCTTTAGGGTGGCACTTGCATTTTTTTTTTGGTGCTTATGGCATGCCTCATTAGCCAGTTTCAAACACCCATCCCCAGGTCAGACTGCCTGCCTTGGCCCGGCCATAGCACCGCTTGTGCTGTGAACAGGATTGCAGGAAGCCTTTTCTGTTTGCACTGTGTGGCACCCTCTTTCCGGTGGGAGGATTTTGTTAAGCAGTTTGCGTTATTTCCATTTCCCATAAGAACAAAAAAGGGCATTCTAAAAAGCCCTTTCTTTTGTCAAATACCTGACAGGAACGGGTGATTTAGTCATTCCTGAGTTAATGGCTCCAATTTTCTAAGTGCTTAATCCCTTTACTCAGGTTTGTTCTCCATGCCATTGTATCCTGACCCAGTAATAGCCCAGGAAGTCCATTTAAAAGCTCCTAAAGATGAGAATACCGTGGGTTTGTATTTTACCAGTTTCTATCACTAACCCACTGAACGACCCGAGGCATCACTGCTGGTCTGTGAGCCTTGATTTCTACCTGTAAAACAGGCATGGGGAACTCCATCTTCCTGGCTCTTTCAAGGACTCATGAGAAAACACCATAAAAAGTATCGAACTGGTGTGTTGAGACATGGAGAGCCCTTCTTCCTCTCTGGATTGCTAGGCTGGAGCAAATGAAGGAGATAAATCTGCCATTCCTTCCAGTGCCTTTCAGCACCCACGAAGAAACGGATATCCTTCCAACACTCTGCCACTCGCTCTGTTTGGGAGCCACCATCTGTAGCCAGAGCAGTACTTGCAAACTTCTGGAGCCTCGAGCCTACGTGTGTATTAACACTCCCCCTTTCTTCGCACCCGGGATGTATTCATAAGACCTTTGGGAACGAAGGAGGTGGGATGGCGCAGAAATGACTGAATGGGAAGGGGGAAGGGAGGGAGGTGACTTGCCTCAAATTCCAGCCTGTCCACACCTGTGTAGCTGTAACAAGGGGGTGGCCGGTTGTTCTGGGCTCAAACAGGGAGAGAGAATAACTGGGAGGATGTGGAGCCCAGATCTGAGAATCACACCGGAGTCCCTATACTTTCAGAGCTGCCCAAATACCACGAGGGCCTTTCGCAGAGGCGGAAACACCCCCATAATGGTTTCCTTTTGTGCGATGCAGTAGCGGTCACAAGCCACAGCCCAGAATGCAGGAGGATGTGCTCTACAGAAAAAGGTTTTGTGGGCACAAATACAAAGTGAAGGACTAAAGAAACAAAAGTGAAGAGTTCTTTAAAGAGCCACTTAAAATTCCCCAGACTTTCCAAATAATAGCCTTTTGGGATCCCATGCTATGGAAATGCAACTGCTTTGTGCTGTCTTTCTGAAAAGATTTGAACTCTTTTTCCAACAAAGGAATAGCTACTGTTTTTACACTTAATCAGCTGTAATGAAGGAATATGAAGAGCTGTCATGTGCTTATTAGGGAAAATTATCAGATATTCTTTTATATGATGAAGTAACACACTGAGCTGATAATTCTATAGTGCACACTAAATTACAATTAAAGGCCTTTCTGCTCCACCAGAATCTCATTTATAATCTCTATGGAAATATTCTTCCTGCAGTTATTTCATTTATGCTTCCTTTATCTAATTACTATAATATTGGTTCTGAATCATATTTTCCTAATGTACCCTTATTCAATTATAAAGTTATTTTCAAGTACAGTTACTTTCTAATGTTAAAGAATACCACTTGGCCAGCTCCATCATTTGTCATCCTTTTTAATTGCAGATTGTTCCTGAGTCATTTTTTCCCCCTCCACTTTTAAGTAGGGTGAAACTTCTATAAATCAAAATCTATTGAATTATTTTGTTTCTTCAACATATTAGCCTGAAATGAATGTCCTGATCATGAGATGTATAAAATTAGATATTCCACACTTTGTGTATGTTTGATACGTGCCATGTTTTGGTTGGGTTAAAAAAAAAAGCATATATAGAGGAAATACTGTTGGACCCGGAATGGTTTGTGTTTTAATCTACAGATGCAGTTCTGTTCTGAAAGGCTGTTTCAGACCTGGGTCTTTCAGCCTGGAGTAGGTTGCAGGTTATTCTCAACACCTGAGAATATTGAATCAATACAATATTATCTTAAGATTGTTTCCTAAAGGTAAGAGGCACAGAGATTCTAGAAGTCGCAGTGTACTTTGGCCTCCTACAAATCCTTAAGTGTGGTTCCCCTGAGCAGGGACCATGTGGACTGGACCCTCACAGATGGATGTCTGCATAGGAGCAGCCCTGCAGCCAAGCCACACAGATTCGGTCCCCTCCTTCCAGCTGGGATCCCCAGGGAGCCAGACCCAATGAGCAGAAGGTTTCCACCAGTCAGAATTTAATAAACTTAGTGAGTGAGATATGTCTTGATGAGAGATTGTTTCCTAAAGATCCAAGTGAATAAAAGGAGGAATGACAAAGTCTCCAAATTTCCAACTTAAAATAATTTCTGAAGAAGATTCAGAGCGGTGGGTAATTATCCCAAATAGTGAGCACAGCAGCAGGGCTTCAAGAATATGTAATGAGCAAACAATCATTAAGCTAAAAAGAGAGAAGTGTTTTGTATTGAAAAGAGTGTTTCTACTTATTTGAGTTTTCCAACAAGTCAAAAATGAAACTGTAAATAATGCCCCTCATTCCTCTTCTCTTATCAAATGCTCTCTTGGTTAAATAACTCAATCAAATGAGTGACAGTCTCTCTTATTTGTGGTTTTTTTAAAGGGCAATAAGTGGCTGGATTTCGTGGCAGCTCGAGATGATGACCGGGACCCCGTGTGATCCACGGGTTGGACTGACCAGGGAAGGAGGCCACAGGCCAGCAGCCAGCTCCCCTTCTCCTCCTTCCACCAGGTGCCACGCCCCCTTCTAAAGAAAGCTCTTCCAAGCAAACAATTGGGGAACATGCCCTGGCCAGTTTGGCTCAGCGGTTAGAGCATCGGCCTGCGGTCCACAGAGACCCGGGTTCAGTTCCCGCTAAGGGCACGTACCTCGGTTGCAGTTTGTCCCTGGCCCTGGTTAGGCCCTGTGGGAGGCAGCCACTCGATGTGTCCCTTTCACATCGATGTTTCTCTCTCTCTCTTCCTCTCTCTCTTTCCCACTCTATCTGAACAAAAAATGGGAAAATGTCCTCAGGTGAGGATGAAAAAAAAAAAGAATTGGGGAACATTAGGTTTTGGTATTTCTTTAAGACTGTGTTCTCCAACAAGACTGTGTTCACCAATAATGAGCTGCCTAAACTAGCCAAATAGTGGGTTTATTTCTATCCTTTATTTTATTTATCATACCTCTTTAGTTTTAAGATATGAAATTGACTCAGCAAGTGTTGTAAGGGAGGGGGTAAATTACATCATTAAATGCATATTGATTATAAAAGTACACGTTTGGAATTAAAGACACAAGGGGATTTTCTTATTAGACCAGTCCTGTGAGGCCTGGTCCCTATTTCCTTTGCACATTCGAGGTCACTGAAAGCTTAGGTAACATGTCCAGACCACACAACTAGTGAGGGATGGGGTCAGAATTCCAGGCTAGAGCCATGTATTTGGAACACAGTGCACTGCTCCTTTTGACACCTAGCTGTATATATATGTTTTAACCTAGATTTGGCGAGCTCACGATCCTGCTGCTCAGCCTCTTCTGAAGCCACGTCCCCTCCCCTGTCCCCTTCTGCCTGAAGCCTTAGGGGACTTTTCTCCCAGGCCCTGCAGGTCTCCCACCTCCGGTCCCTGTTCCCATAAGGAGGTTTCTCTCTCCCCTTCCCAGGTTCTTCTTTTCCTGGATAAATACTTATTGGCCTAGGCCTCAGCTTAAATGCACTTTTTGAGAAAGACTTTCCCTCATCTCCTAGACCAGTGCTTTTCAAACTATGTCAACCATAGTGGGAAATACATGTTACATCATGATAGAGCATATGCCCATACATGTGCATGTATGTATGGTTTTCATTTCATTTTTTGAAGTTTGCGTTCAGTGGTTTTTAGTGTATTCACGAGTTTGTGCAATCTTCACCACTAATCCTAGAACATCCTTGTACATATGTATACTCATATGTATAAAACCAAAATAAATAGTATTTAATGAAGCACTACTTTGCCTAACTTACTATGGGTGATGAATGCTGATTGTGTCTGTTCTATGTCATTCTATTCCATTTTTTCCATTTCATAAAAAAATAAAAAAAGATCTTACATGACCCACTACGTCGACTTCATGTCCCATTACTGAGTTATAACTAACAGATTGGAAACCTGTCCCTAGACCACGACCTCCCTGTCCTGCAGGTCACAGCACCGTTTACTTCCGGTCCCTTGGCGTTCAGCACACTGGCCACTGCTCCTGCAAGTCTGCCTGCCCTGGCAGCTGCACACCCCAGGAAGGCGGGTCTAGATTTGTCTCCTCTTTGTCTGTATCTGGTGTCTGGTGCAGCGAAGTAATAGGTACTCAATAAATATCGGTTGACTGAATAAATGTTTGCCTTCGAAAAGTGAAAATCAACTCACATATACTTCTTTGTGGTTAGTGTTCCCACAAGTCAAAGGAAACGCAATAACGCTGTTATCTTGCATTTGTTACCAGTGTAAGCCAGCAGCTGTGTGGCTTCTTCCTCCAAAACAGGGATTTGGCCTTGAATTATCCATGTGATTGTCTAATTTCTTCATTTCGCTTTGCCTTATAAATCCAGCTTGAGCAGCCCAGCTACCAGGAGGAACCTACAGATGAGCTCTGTCATGGCAAGAGCATTGGGGCCACAATTGCTCTCAGCGGCCAATCAGCCAGCGACCACATCTCCTCCCTCCCCTCCTCTCCTCTCCCTTCCCCTCCCCTCCCCTCCCCCGCGGGACCCTCCCCCGCGCTCTGCACCTGTCTTTGCCGGTCTCCCGCTTGAAGAGCTCGTCGAACTGCAGCATCTTGTGGCGGGTGATCATGAAGGCCTTCAGCCGGGGCAGCACCTGGCTCAGCAGCTGCAGGTTGTTGTACACCTGGCCCTTGCCGTCGCGCCGCATGTAGCTGCTGGGGCCCCAGAAGATGAACACGGTGCCCTGGCTCACGTTGAGCAGGTCGTGGCGGTTGCTGAGGATCCTCTGGATGCTGGAATGTGCGATGACCCTCAGGCTAGTGCGATTGCCCACGTCGTGCCCGTAGCCGCGCGTGGGGGCATCATTCATGCGGATGACGCACTCGGTCTGGTCGATCTGGGGGCCTTGCCGGCTGCGCAGCAGGTGTCCCGAGCTTGTCACCAGGGCACAGTCCCTGCAGTGCATTTTCAGGGGCTGAAAGGCAGGGGAGGGGGGAAGCACACCATCAACCTCAACCCTCCATTAGCACCCCTAGGGCACTTGCCTGCCTCAGAAGGCTGCCCATCTTCCACCTCCTCCCTCTTACGCCAGAATATATTCCTTCTGCTATTAACTCATTAACATTCTCTTCTAAACTGGTGACAGGGAGCACTGGACAAGAGGGAAAGAGAGCCAGCACTGACCTGTCAAACCCTGGGCTCCAGACTTTGCTGATGTCAAATAAGGAAATCATCCCATCAACCCAGCAAGGTTGCTGCTCCAACCATTTTACAGGCAAGGGCACTCAGACTCAGAGATGTTAAGAAATTTGCCCAAGGATGCAGAACTAGCAAGTAATGAAGTCACACGTTCAAGCGCAGGTCTTTCTGAATCCAAAATTGCCCCCAAATTGAAGAAAAGACTCCCCACCCTTTGCTATGACACTAGCTCCAATGCTCTTAACTCACTGTATTTAAAATTAAGCATTTATCTGTATTCTTTGATGCTGTACAAATATGTTTATCCCAAATAAACACTAAGAATCACATGGGAAAAGATATGCAAATTGTAACCCATCAGATGCTATAATTTTGGGATGACTCTTAAGCAGTTTGTCCCATTTTAAGGGGAGAGGGAGAGAGAGATAGAGATAGATAGATAGATAGAGAGAGAGAGAGAGAGAGAGAGAGAAATTGAGTTGGTCCATCTTTAAAAATGTAAAGAAAGCCTGGAGCTCAGAGCCACAGACCTCGTCTAGGAACATGTGTGTGCCCTGTGGACGCCTACAAGTGACAAATGCGATGACCTTGCTCACTTCAACACCCTGAACCAGTGATTTGCTTTCTGAACACCTGCATGCTAACAAGTCAAACATTCCCCTGTTCATGTTTAATGAGAAACATCTCTTAGTTGCTGTTCGAAGATAATATAATTAGGGCCTGAGGCTGAGGCCAGCAAGCACACAACCAGGTGACAATCAAGAGGGTTCTGAAGGAAAGTTGCATCATTGGATCTTCCCCAGAGCCTCTGTCCTTCCTCCCTGTTAACTTTGAACAGGACACACTGGCTCCCTATACAGTCTCAGGAAATAGGATCCTTTTAGTGCTGCATGTCTTACATTTGCCCTGGGAGTTTCCTCTCCGTCTTCAAAACCAGACGGTACCCACGGACAGCCACCTCTCTGCACAGTGGCCAAGAGGGGCTCCCAGGATGGGCCCCGCCTTGTCTTCACCACCTATTAGCCATGAGACCTTGGCTAGCCACTAATCTCAAGTCTCAGTTTTATTCATTTTTAACTGAGGATAATTAATGCCCCCATGTTAACCTTGATAAAATTAAAACATAGCATTAGATTGAGCCACTTGAAACTGCCACTATTTGAGCTGCAAAAATAGCAATTGCAGGGAATTGAACCTGATCCTTCCCATAAGACCTGGCACAGTGATCATTCAATAAGTGATAGCTGTTCCTGGGATGATCAACCTGAGTGGAGCGCATTGTAGCCGCTCACTAAATCAGTACTGATCACTTTGGGTTGGTAATTGGCACATAGGCCTATGAAATGGTGATTCTACCACTGCACATTCATTATTCATTTAACATCTGATTATTCCCAGGTGACAGCAAGTATGCTAGGCAGTCAGAATGTAAATGGAATGGAAAAGCAGAATCCCTTAAAATTCACACCTTTGATTGGTTGCTTTGGCTAATATTTTTGGATGTTCTCTATATTCCAGGTACTGTTCTGAGCCGATAGGGGTTTAATGGCGGAGCAGGGCAGATGCCCAGGACAGACTATGACACTTAGGGTGACCAACTCAACCGGTTTATTAAGGGTTGTTTGGATTTTAGCATTGCAAGTCCTGTATCCCCCAAAATCTCTACTCATGGAGAAGCCCACTAAAAAGTTCCTACAAAGATGATAGTGGCATCTGCAAATAGCATGCTGCTCAAGGATGGTTAGGGATGGGAGACCCAGGGTCCAAAGCAGACTTTGTCACAAATCAAGTGCTTGACCTTCTCACCTGTAAAACAAAGAGGACAGACTAGATAGTTGTGACCAAATGACATTCATTCATTCATTCATTCATTCATTCATTCAAAAGACATTTCCCTAGCTAATTCAATACACCCCTGAGGTACTATGTAACTCAGTACATTTGCTTAATAAGGTCACTTTGTAAGATTTCATTTCACTGGACCCTAAGGGTGTTGGTACCTGCTTTTTCTCATCAGACTTGCCTAGAGTTATCATCCTGAATTTTCCAGTTTGGTTTACAATTTCAAGAAATTGTGCTGCTTTTTACAGGGGAAAACAATCGGAAGACAGGTCCTGGCATCTCTTTCTCCCATGATTAATTATCTTGCTGAAATTCTTGGTTGACAAGTGAAACCCGTGTCACCTTATGAAGATTCCAAGGCCTTCTCTCTTTCTTTATCCTATGCCTGTGTGAGTTCAGCTGAGGTCTCTTTCAGGGACGGCCAAGGTACTCCTGACTGTGCCACACTGACACTCTGTGACGAGTGGGCACCACTCAGACACACCGGGGTCCGCCCAGTCCTGGAAAGCCCTCCCTCTTGATTCCTGCCCATTTGCCTTAGCTCCGAGGTATTGATTACCTCGGACATCAGCACCCACTCTTTGAGTTGTGCAGACACATCAAATGCAAAAACACTGAAGTCTGAATTATGCCTTAAGTGTCTTTTGGTAAGTGGTGCCAATAAAATGACAATAGCTGTTGTAAACATAACAGTACACTTCCTGCAGCTGACAAGAGCGTGTGCCGAAGGCTGCTTCTCTTCCCAAGGAGGAAAAAAAGTCTGTTTTCTGCATTTGGAGGGACTGACGATGTCTCGGACACAGAGTGATTACAAATTATACAAACTGACTGTTTCTTGGGATGTGACACAGTTGTCAGAGCCATGGTCCTCCCCACCTCAGCACCACTATAATCCTTAGTGTGTTCATGCGATGGTGGAAATGCTCATGTCTTTAGGGTTCCCTTGTAGTATTTGCACGTTCTCTCCTTGAGCATTCAGATCCCGGGTTGAACCACTCAGTGGAGTGTAGGAAGGTGAGCTCAGGACTCCGCTAGGCAGCCTGGAAGATACAGCTCCAAGGAGGGGAGGTGGCCCCCAGTGAGCTCACTACCCTGCAAGGCCTTCTCTCTGACATCCTCCTCATAGTATTCAGCCTCCCTGATTCCGGGGAATATTTTCCTTAAAGCCCCATTTGGTGAGGTGCTGCCAGGAAACATGGCACCCATGTTAGGTCACTTTGATCTTGTTATCTGGCCCACCACAGAGCTTTGTTGACTACCTGGATGGATCGATAAATGAGTGAGGGACACCCACCTCCTGCCTTCTCTGTCCTCTGAGAAAACCTACCTCCTGAGACATAAAAAGAAGACCTAATGCGGTGCCTAACCAATAACTCGCCCACAGACCCCAGCCCTTCGTATTAACGCCATGGAGAAGGGGGGGGGGGGTCCCTGTGGAAGCCTGTCTGCGGAGAGGGAGGCTCCTGCCATTTGCCTCAAGGCAGCCACTCGGCCCAGGGAGCCATAATGGCCAGAGCCTGGGGAACTGCTCGGGATGAATGGCTGGCTGGGAAAATGGCCCAGGACACAGTAAGGGCCATTAAGCCCAGCCAGTTATTAATCCCCAGTAAGAGCTTGATGCCAAGGTCATTAGAGCTGTTGTGAGGTGAAAAATACCCGGGAAAATCTACAGCACACAGAGGAGTTACCGCCCTCCAGCCCACTGATGCTCTGAGCTGCAGGCCAGGCCGCAGGAGTGTGAGGTCCGGGGCCGTGGGAGGCAGGCGGGCTGGCCCTCTGGAGGGAGTGCGCCTGCGTGCTGTCTCGCTCTCTCTGTCTCTCTCTCTGTCTCTGTCTCTCTCTGTCTCTCTGTCTCTCTCTCTCTCACACACACACACACACAAACACACAAAGCTTAACACTATTTTTGCTGTTACTTTTGCATTTGTCATTATCCTAGTACCTAGGACAGTGCAGTGTCTGTAACTTAGTGGGGGCTTGTGAAAGTTGTAGAATGTTTTAAAAGGTGTGAGTGAGTCTCTTCTTTCACCATTCCACTCCCCCCCCAATCAGGGAATAGGGAAACATGACAGCTTTCATCACCACTTATTCCTTAGAGCGGTGTTGACAGGAGCAATCCTTGCTTGACAAAGCACGCTCGGGGAATCAAGGTCTGATTTCTGTCACAGCCCGGAGAGCAAGAGCCGAAGGAATTTTCCCTGTGACCCAGCGGATGCCTCCGGAGGTTTTCTTAAGAGAACAGAGCAGGCCAAGTCAAATTAAACTTGACACCTAGAACACCCAGTGATGTCCTTGCAAACATTTGTAGCATGGCAATCTCAGGCTTCACGTCTCAAAATTCTGATTTATTTGGCAGAGGGAAAGGTACCTCAGAGCATCATGTCCATTAGTTCAGTAATGAGACCAGTCTTGCTCTGGGAGCTGCCTGTTAGTCTGGAGCAAACATAAGATATATTAAATGGCTTCAGGTGTTTCGAGAATCTCTGTACTTTCCAATTTGATGTTTTCCTGTAATTACTGGGCTTTTATTAGCTGTCAATCTCCGTTCAGCCTGACACTGGGTATAAACCACTCTGATTATTTAATGTGATTCACTAGAAAAATGTTACTCTTCTAAGCTGCTCCTTTCCCTCTTATTCAATGGCAAGCCCACCCACCAGCCTTCTCTGTCAAGAAGTCCTCCTCTCTCCATGCAATGCCACCGCCCATGATTCCCACGATTCCCACCTACTGGCTGGCTAAGGATGGCAGTGCTCCATCGGCAGGAGGCAGTACAGAGCAGTGTTTAAAATACAGCCTTTGGAGTCACTGGCCTTGAACCTGCTTCTTCTACTTTGATGGATAATTTTGGGCTAAGTGGCTCAGGCCTCCCAAGCCCCAGTTTTTTCCTCTGTAATCTGAATATGGTAAAGCCAGCTTCGAAGGGAA